TGGTTTCCTTTTCAGCTTCGTTGTTGTAACTGCAACTTTGTTTCCGACAAATTTGAGCCTTCCCGTGGATGGAGTCTGGCAATTGAAGATGGCGATACACTTGTTAGTGCACTAGAGTCCTTTATTTGTGTTGAAAAACTCGAGGGTCAGTCTTGTGATAACTGTAAGGAGGAAGTCTCAAGGAGAAGCAGCTTAAGCTTGATAAGGTACCGCTGGTTGCTGCGTTCCATCTGAAAAGATTCAAAATTCATGAAGAGAAGATCAGCAAGTACATTGAGTTCCCTTTGGACTTGGATTTGCTCCCTTACATGAGCAGTAACGAAGATCCTGAAGTAAGTGAATTTGTACACACCTTCGCTCTGTAAAATCTAAGAGATTTTCAAGTATTAACATCAACTAATGTTCTTATTTTATTTCTTCAGGTCCCCACAATATACCATCAGTATGCCATGGTGGAGCATATTGGGACTGGGCTATCATCTGGTCATTACGTCGCGTATGTAAGATCAGCTCGTGGGACCTGGCATCGTTTTGATGACTCAGAGGTAATATAAGGATATAATCAATAATTTTCATTTGATTTGTGTGCTTGAGTTATTTGTAAACTTCTCTGCAAGCTATCAATCAATGCAACCTTTTGTTGGCAGGTCAAGAAAATCAGCGAAGAAAGTGTTCTGTCAAAGCAGGCATACATGTTATTTTATGCAAGACAAGAAACACCATGGTTTAATAAGTTTTTCGAAAAGCTGAAGATATTATCTGAAGCTACTACGTTATATGTCTCGCGAAAGTCACTGCTTGGGACAACCTGCAGAAAGAAGTGTGTATCCTCCGATCACATTCACCAGAATGTTAGTAATTCCAACAAAGCCTGTAACGACTTGGCAGGAGTATCGATCCCAAGTGGAAATAACTCAGATTTCCGTGGTGACGAGCGACAAGATGACGTGTTTCATTTAGCTGAGTCTAACAGGGATGATGATTATGCTTTCGAGTCACCTACGGCTGATGGACTTGAGAAACCATTTGCTGAGACAGTTCACCAAGAAGAACCTAATGTGTATCCAGCCGGCAACAGAGCTACAACTGAAGATGTTGACGATTCTGTGCCTGTGATCAAAACTCAAGAGCAAATCTCATCTCCAAAACGCAAAGGTACCATCTTATAATATGTGTTTTTGATAGTGTGGATGATACGAAGAAAGATATTCTGATAGAATTCAGAACAAGTATTCTCCGTTAGTAGTCCATGAATCACTGGTTGTAGGAAGATTCGATGATAAAAGTGAAATAGAACTTACGTTAAGGCTTGAGAAAACTGCTATTAAGGCTTTGCTCTTCTTGTTTTGTGTGATTCTATGTACAGCTGACGAGCGAGCTATCATTGGTAAAGCTTCTCGGCCTAAGCTCAAGATTCAAGGACAAAAATACATTCCGAAACACCAAGGTACTACACTCGACTAAGTGTTTTGATACCTTTAGTCTCAACTATAGTAAACAAGTGGAAGAGATACTAAGTAAGACATGAGAAACATTGAAAGATCCTGAGTTCGAGTATGTCCAATGCTGTAAGAGGAACTTTAAGACTCATCGTGATCATTTGCGAAAGAAGAAGAGCAGAGAAGAAACTCTTGGAACGAAATCCATTAAAAGCATCTTTGTTGCAGATCCTAAGAAGAAAGTTCGTGCTATTTCATATCTCAGTAAGATGTCTACGAGTCGCTCTCGGATGCTCGCTGCAACTTTGGGTGTTTTGGTCAAGAAAAAGAAAGTCGCTAAGATCAAAACTCCTAAGATCGACGATGTGTCCTCACAGGAATCTCTCTGAACCGGCAATGTAATGAAAACAAAAACCTAAATCTATTCAACTTTCTTGTTGCGTTAACGAGTTAGCTAGGGAGAATGATAAGTTCTTTGTTTGCTGTGTTTTGGGGTTTTCTTGTGTGTATATCACTCTGATCGAATTTTGTTATCGAGGTCCAACCAATGATCTAAGGGGGTAAATATATAACATTACTCTATAGATTAATGCATATTAATGATATATAACAAGACATTCTTGTTATATATTTCTATATTATTATTTGAGTAGACATTTTTAAAAATGAACTTAAATGTGTAAGTTATTACATGAAATGCCATTATAAATAACAGAAATAACTCAAATAGGAAATGATATAATTGTCTTTCAAATCTATTTAAAACAATATGGAAAGTTTTTGTTTCTCATATATTTGAATATATTTACATTTCTAAATTTAAAAATATGACAATTTCTTATGTTATTTATTTCAAATGAATAATGCAAAAAGTCAAGATTAAAATTATGATATTGAAAAATGGTGAAATATTTTATAAGTATAAGTTGCTATGTTACTTGATTATAGACATAAATTATTTTTACTAAAAATTTGACACAAATTTTTTTTTTATTGGAGTGTGAATCATTAAAAAATATATATTAAATTGTTTTTTAGGTTATATTCTAATAAAATACAAATAAGTTAAATAGACGGATTACTTCGATATGAAAAGATTATGATTCTAATTTTTTAATATCCAAAAACAAATCTTGCGATTCCAAATATTAATTTTTAAAATAGGTGGTATATATTCAATCTACTAAATATTATAATTTATTTTTGTATATTTATTTTTTATATATCAAACCTAAGTTTTACAAAAATTATATTATTTTAAAGAAAATAAATTTAATTTTTATAGTTTGTGAACAGACTACAAAACTCTGTTATTAATAAACAGTTTATTTTGATTTATTTATACTAATTATTATTATTATTTAAAAATATGATAAAATTCATTAGTTAACAGTAAATTAAATTTCTATTTGATGAATGTAAAATTTTTACTTGATATAACTATAGACATATTTATATATACCAATAAAATTTATGAACTAAAATTTGAAATTAATTATTAAAATATTATTTAAGATATTATAATTCCGCGTATATATTACGCGTGTTAATTTCTAGTATTCAATTATTAGAAAACTAGGTGATTAGCCTGTGCAGTTTTAAAAATTGAATCCAAAACTTTTGAAGATTTGAATTTGTTACTGATATTAAAGTGAATACAAATTAACAATAATGAAAATGTGATTAAAATTACATATTTACCACATATTACATTGACTTCCAAAGGTGAAGAGGCGTAGTTAGATTTTAACCCGCCCAAAGGTGGACAGGCGTAATTTTTGTTGTTTTAATTTTTTTTTAAAAAAGTAAATAGAGTGTTGAAAATAATATTTAATTAAATATATGGAGTTTATGTTATAGACGAAATTATATGTGGAATTTAAATATCGATGAATGTGAAATTTATTATGTAGAGATATAAATTATCAATAGAGCATTTCAGATGTGGAGTTGAAATCCTAAGTTTAGCTAAAGATGATTACAATTTTTTTCGAAACTGAAATGAAAAAAATCAATGAGTCCATACAAATGTATTTACAAAAAAACTAAATATGTCAAAATGATTGTAAACTCAGGAGATCTTCTATTATTATTTTACAAAGACACATTAAAAAAGACCTTTGTGTCATGTGTGATTTACAATTGTGCCATGCTGATGTGTCATCTCTAGAGAGCTTCTCAAATGTTTTTTTTTTTAAAAAGGCTTATGTTACTAGAATAATTACAATCAATGTCACTCATATTAATTTGGAGAATCAAATATCTTATAAAAATAATCATTAAAAGTAATTGTTTAAAAATGATTATTCTTTCCTTAATTAGACACAAAAAAATTAGTAAATAATTTTAAATCATATTTATCATCCAATTAAATAGAATAAAGAAGATTTGAGATTTAAATCATATTTTTTTGATATTCAATCCTTATTCAATTATATAATATGAATTATTTTGAAATCATTATATCATTTTATTCTCTTTGTTTACTTTCCTTTTCTGAATTAATTATCATACTAAACATATACTAAATTTATATTTTATGTATATGTGATAATTTAAAATTTGAAAAAAAAAACAAAATTATTCACTAAATTTTTTATCTAATAATCAACTTTTTGAAAATCTATATAACATAATTTAAAATCCCTACGATCAGCCTCTATATAAGAAAAATATTTTTCATAACATTTTACTCATTATTTTTTTAAATAAAAAATAGCTTTTTTGACCTAATTATAATCTTTGTTTCTCATAATTCTTTTGTTTCTAACTCAATCTCTGATTTAAAACTTTTGAAGAATATTTGAAAAATAAAGGTGAAAATCATAAGACTTTGCAAAAAAATACCAAGTTGTTGTTTTTCTAACAATCAAGAGTGTTGTAATTGACTCAAAAGTTAGTTATTGTTGGGGTCGGTTTCACCCCAACCGGTTTAAACCATCTCGAGAGTAATTAAACATTGGGGAGAGCCGATTTTGGCAAGAGGAACCGGTGATTCATCAAATATGGGCCGCACCCCCGCATAAGAGGAGTGGGCCAAGCTGTACCCAACGTCGTAAATGAGTGAGCCGTGGGGAGGCAATGAAAAGGCCGAGCCACGTGAAGAACACTCAGATGGGCCGAGCCGTGAACAAAAGAAAATGGGCCGACCTGCGCAAGTGAAGGTGGCCTGAACCGAAGTCGTTAATGACGCGAGCCCACTGAAACCCTAGGAAAAAAGCATTGCGGCAGTGGCCGCACGAAGCGATAAGGAAATATTCTGAAAATCTCTCCCGAGATTTTCGGCTAGGCGGTTTAGAAAATTTGTATAAATAGACAATGTACGCAATTCATTATGTAATTTTGGCAACCCTAAGCAATAAAGACTAAACACTTTCACAGCAATAGAGAGCTTCCTTTGATCTTATTGTTCTTGCGATAAACCCTAGAAAATTCGGATCCCTTAAGTTTTTCTTAACAAATTTTTGGTTGTGCGAGTTTTGGCTCACACAATTTGGCGCCGTCTGTGGGGAATCAAAATTTTCTTACTCTAAATCGACAAGACTTTAAGATCCGAAAAACATGGTGAGCAACACCCCCGACGATAACAACAACAACAACAACAACAACAACAACAACGACAACAGCGCGGAGAAGGACGCTCCACCATCGGGCACAACAACGGCGACAACTGAAACCCAAGAGGAGATGCGAAACATAATGGCTACGTTGATGAAGAAAATCGACGAGCAGGACAAAAGGAACGAGGCGATTATGGAAAGGCTCGACGCGATGACAGCTGAGAGACGACACCCGACTTGGAGAGCCGGAATCTCTGATCCGACGGATGGAGTCCGGAGACGTTTCGATTTCTCAACACCTGCAGGAGCTTTGGGTAGCGGCACAAGAAATCCCATGGCTCCACCAATGTTTCGTCCCCTCAGCAAACAGACTCCCGCAGCAACTCGAATAACCATGACCGAACTGCCTTTACTCCGTCAGAATTCAAGGCAACGAGCCGACGACGCGATCGACGTGGACGCCCAACAAAACGACGGAACCAGGAATTTGCAACAAAACGGCTCGGCTCAGCGAATAAGCCAAGAAAAGCTCGCCTCGGCACTAAATGGCATTCGGACTGATGAAGTCACTGACCCGGATCGCGACGACAACCCAACTGAAGAAGAGGAAAATCTCCAATGGGTCAAGCAGGCAGAGCGCGAAGACGAGCCGAAGAGAGAAGATCAGGAGCGACTTCGCCAATCTAAGAGAATGACTCGTGCACAAACCCTCGAAATCGAAGAGTTGCGAGCCTCAATGGCTCGAACAGTGGCCGAGATACGCGCCATGAAATCTCAGGTGCATAACGCGACAAGTGTCGCGCCTGAGATCGATCAAATGCTCGAAAAAACTCAGAGAACACCGTTCACAGTAAGAATCACGGAGGCTAGGATTTCCGAGCCCAGAAAAGTGAGAATCCCATTCTACGAAGGCACAACTGACCCGAAGGCGCATATCACAGCATTCGGATAGCAATGGGACGAGCCTTCACAAGGAACGCTGCCAATCTGACCGAACGGGAGGTAGATGCCGGATATTGCCTGCTCTTCGTAGAGCATCTCAAGGGAGCCGCGCTGGAATGGTTCTCGAGACAGGAGCGGAATTCAATCGGCAGTTTCAACAGCTCTCCGCTTTGTTCCTCAAGCAGTATTCGATGTTCATGGATCAAGGAACCTCCGATGCCGACCTATGGACACTATCCCAAGTACGGAACGAGTCACTTCGGGACTACATGGCAAGGTTCAAGGCGGTCGTGTCCAAAGTAGAAAGAATAAGCGACAAAGCTGCACTCGAGGCTCTGAAGCGGTCATTGTGGTACAAATCTAAATTCTGACGGGAAATGGCCCTCAACACGCCACCAATGATTCAAGACGCCTTACATCGGTCGTCAGACTTCGTCGTAAACGAGGAGGAGATGAAAAATCTGGACGAGCAGTACGAGGCGACGAAAACAGCGATCCGAAGCTCAATCCTGACGCGCCCCTCGAAGAAAGGTAACCCATCAAACAACGCAACAACACAGAGCTCGGAGGAACCAAGAAGCGGAGGCGCCCACAACTACCAAGTAGGTGCCAGACGCGGAAAAGGAGAGCCGCGCAGTAACACTCGGGTAAGGAGACCTAGTAACTACGACGAAAAGGCGTTTTGCGAGTATCATCAAACCTACGGGCACTCGACGGCGCAATGCCGAACCCTGGGAGCCAAACTCGTGGCTAAAATGGCAGTAGGAGAACTCCAGAGCGCAATGAATCTCAAAGAACTCGTCCCTACTGAGCCAAAAGAGGGAACCCCACCAAGCGGTGCGACTGAACCCGCGAATCCTCCCCGACGAGGCGATAACACCAAGTGCAATAGGAGAGGTGAACCCGAAGAACGACCCGAGCAAAGACAGATATTCTCTTCTCCTTTCCTTAGTTAGCTGATCCTAATGCTAGATCCTTGCATATCACTTGGGTCTAGAATTTGGGTTTTTCATGCACCAAAAGTGTTTGATGAAATGCCTGAATGAAAGCTAACTAAGGGTTTATGCATTAATGCCATGATGATGTTTGTTAATTGCATAAATGACATATTAGAGTTGATTCTTAATGCTTACTAGTTCATATTTCACAAATGGGAATTTGGTTTAAAAATGGATTAGTATATAGATTAATACCTTCATGAGAGGATTAATCTAGCTTTAAACTCTAAGTTGATTGGATTAGAGATCATGTGATTGCTTGTTATGTCTTTCTGTGTAAGATTCAGTCTTCTTGGTTGAGATATTGTTTGGTCACTTATTAGGCTTGATGCATTATGCTTGTTGATTGCTTGATTATATCTAATGGTTGTTAGACTTGATTAAGTGATTAGCAAAGGGATTATTGTCATGAGAATGAATTAATCTGCTTTTGAAGTCGAGACTAAAGAGTAACTTGCATTGCATTATTGTTCTTAGCATCATCAATTGATATCTACAGCACCCTAATCAATGATCACATCTAGAGGTTTAGCTTTTATCATTTGCTTAATCACCACCATCTTGTTTATCTTGCTTGCTTCGTTTAGTTCATTAATCATAGCTTGCTTGTTTCTTGTTTTATGCTTTCTTGTTACTTTGTTCACACCAAAACTCATCTTTGATCACTTGACTTAAGAGCTTATCACATAAACTAGTGCCTAACTACCACACATATGGATTGACACCCCTTATACTACTTTGACAAGGGGATTGATAACCCATCTAAGATCTAAAAACCTTAGTTATCAATTGGCGCCAATTTTGAATTCCCCAATTTTGAAGAGAGGCCTTAATAAGGTTTATCAATCCCCTTATCAATGAAAGATCCCTTGGAACACTTGGATCAATTTGATAAGGTGTGTGACCTGACAAAGATAAATGGAGTTTCTGAGGACAGTTTCAAGCTAAGATTATTCCCCTTCAGTCTTGGTGACAAAGCCCACCAATGGGAGAAGAATCTTCCAAGAGGCTCCATTCAACCCTGGGAGCAATGCAAGCAGGCCTTTCTATCTAAGTTCTTCTCCACCTCCAGAACTGCTAAACTAAGGAATCAAATCTCTAGCTTCACTCAGCACAGCAATGAGAGTTTTGGTGAAGCATATGAGAGATTCAGGAGCTACACCAACCAATGCCCACACCATGGATTTAGTGAGGCTTCTCTCCTTAGCACACTTTATTGAGGAGTTCTTCCCAAGATAAGAAACCAGCTGGATACTGCCTCCAATGGAAACTTTCTGGGAAAGGAGATACATGCTGCTTTAGAGCTAGTGGAGAACTTAGCAATGAGCAATAACACTTATGGTGAAGACTATGACAGATCAAATAGATCTGAAGGTTCAAGCTCAGAACAGAGGCTCACTAGAGAAGTTAAGGAGTTGAGAAGTGAATTTGACAAGTTGAAATTCACCACTCAAAAGCCAATGCACTTTGTTGGTGAGTATGAGGAACCTTCTCAGATCTTTGAGAACATAAGTGAAGTAGGTCTAACCCAGGAGGAGCTTAACTACATTGGGAATCAGAGGTTCCAAAGATATCAGTATGGCAATGCAAATCAGAACCTCTCTTACAGGAATCCCAATGTGGCAAACCCACAAAACCAGGTATATCCCAATTCTCAAGCTCCAAAGAACTTTGTTCCCAATAACAACTTCTAAGGGTCTTTTCTACCCAAGAATCAGTTTTCTCAGAATCAGGGTTTTGGTCAGCAACAGCAACCATTTCAGGGTACTGGTTTCAGTTCACAACAGCAGCAAAAGGCACCACCAGGGTTTGGTCCACCAAAGTTCCAGCAGCAACCGCCGGTTCAACACCAGTTCCAGCCATCAACGGTTCAGCGGCAGCCACAGATGGGGTCAGATATGGTTGGTATTCTTCAACAACTGCTTGAGGGTCAACAGATATTTGCAAGCCAGAATGCAGCCATGCAACAGGAAATCAAGGAATTTAAAACAAAACCAGGCCTCAGTCTCAAGGAACCAAGGTTATCTACCTGGAAAACCTGAACCCAACCCCAAGGAATATGCTAAATCCATCACACTGAGGAGTGGAAAGGAGTTACCTGGTATTGAGAACAACAATGTGATCATTGAGGATAATGATCAAACTGAGGGGGAGGCAGCCTTACAAGATGATCAAGTTGCTGAGAAACCAAGGAAAGAAAAGGGTAAAGAGGTAGCAAAGGAACCTGAACCAGAAAAGACATATGTGCCACCACCTCCATACCAACCCAAGCTCCCATTTCCAGGGAGATTTAAGAAGCAACTTGTGGACAAGGCAAGAGCTGTATTTGAGAAGGCACTCAATGAGACACCACTCACAATGCCTCTCATTGATGCATTTCTAATGATGCCTTCAAGGCATGGTGGTACTAAGTCATGAATGCAGTGCCATAATTCAGAAGAAGTCCATTCCAAGAAAGCTGACTGATCCAGGGAGTTTCACACTCCCTTGTGCCATTGGACCTCTTCTATTTTCTGGTTGTCTTTGTGATCTAGGAGCATCAGTCAGCTTGATGCCATTCTCCATAGCAAAGAAGCTGGGCTTTAGAGTTTTCAAACCAGCAAGGATCTCTCTTATCCTTGCAGATAGATCAGTTAGATTTCCTGTTGGTATGTTAGAAGACCTGCCTGTTAAGATAGGTGGTTTTGAGGTTCCAACTGATTTTGTTGTGCTGGAAATGGATGAGGAACCAGTTGATCCTCTTATCTTGGGCAGGCCATTCTTGGCCACTGCAGGAGCTATTATTGACGTGAGAGGTGGGATAATAGAGCTTCAACTTGGGTCTGAGAAGCTCAAGTTTGATGTGAATGAGATGATGAAGAAACCCACCATTGAAGGTCAATGCTTCTATGTGGAGACAATGGATCAGTTGGCTGATGAGTTACTTAAGGAACTGAACACTGAGGACCCTCTTCAAGCTACTCTAACCCAAGAATAAGGAGACAATGGGCTCTTAGCAGAAGAAAGTCAAGGGTATAAGCTGTATTTGAACAATGCTAGAGAACTTGGTCCTGAGACAAGGTTTTTCGAACTGGAACAAAGTGGCTCTGAGGTCTTGGCTATCAAAGGATCAGACACCAGCCAAAGCAGCTTGGATAAGGATTGGAATGAGGCTGATGCACCCCCTGTTTAGCACAAGCCTCTACCAACAGGGCTCAGGTATGCTTTCTTGGGCTTAAACTCCACATATCCAGTAATCATCAATGATAGCTTATTAGAGCATCAAGAGAATGCATTGCTTAGTGAGATAAGAAAGTTCAGGAGAGCCATAGGATACTCTTTGGCTGATATTAGAGGGATCTCTCCTGACATTTGCACCCACAGGATACACCTAGAGGACCAATCTATGTCCTCTATTGAGCATCAACGACGTCTTAACCCAATCCTCAAGGAGGTGGTTAAGAAGGAGATACTCAAGCTTCTTGAGGCAGGGATAATTTACCCAATCTCTGACTCAAGATGGGTATCTCCTGTACACGCTGTGCCCAAGAAAGGTGGGATCACAGTGGTTAAAAACGAGAAGGATGAGCTGATAGCTACTAGGACTGTAACAGGACACAGAATGTGTATAGACTATAGAAAGCTCAATGCAGCCTCTAGGAAGGATCATTTTTCTTTGCCTTTCATTGATCAGATGTTAGAGAGGCTTGCAAACCACCCCTTCTTTTGTTTTCTTGATGGGTACTCGGGTTTGTTTCAAATCCCCATAGATCCCCGAGATCAAGAGAAAACAACAATTACTTGCCCTTATGGCACATTTGCATACAGGCGCATGCCTTTTGGTCTCTGTAATGCCCCTGCCACATTTCAACGTTGCATGATGCATATTTTCATCAGGCAGATTTGCGGTAAATTCTTGTGTGTAGGTACTAATTTCCGGTTTTCCTTTTGCAGAAACACCTAGGAAGGCTCCGCCGATTGCAGAGAACGTCCTTGCCGCTCTTCGCCGGGAGGGGACTTTGTGGTACGAGTT